CTTTTCATGTGGATCAGACTCAGCTGGTATTCCAGGTGTGCTTTTCATGTGGATCAGACTCAGCTGGTATTCCAGGTGTGTGTTTTTCACGTGGATTCAGAGGATCAGACTCAGGTTCTCCTGGCTGCATAGCAAGCATTTCAGCCACCAAGCCACCTCTCCTATGTTTTTCTTTCCTCCCTCCCTTCTCTTCTCCTCTTCCCTCTTTCTTTCTATGAGTATGTGTGTGGGTCTGTACATGCCACAGTATATGTATGGGGGTCAGAGGACAGTTTATGGGTGTCAGTTCTCTCCCTCCACCATGTGGGGCATAGGAAATGAACTTGGATAGTCAAGCATCTTTATCTACTGAGCCATCTTGTTAGCCCACCATTTGTTTTTAATTAATGATATTTAATGATATATATCTCCAATCTTAGTGAGACTGTGTCTTTCCTTGGTGACTGGACTGGATTAGGCTCTTAACAGCCATCTTCAGAGTGGAATTTGTGGTGGAAAGTTGGACAATCAGTGTGCATGTCTCAGTAAGTTAAAAGACTGGTTCTGGGGCCGGAGAGTATCCGTGTAGGGAGAATGTGTTTTATGGAAGCCTAAGGATGACAATTCAGATCCCAGCACCCATGTAAATATAGGTTAGGTGTGGTGGTTCCCTCGTAAATACATGTGTGAAGTGGAAACAGAGGATTCCTCCAGTGAGGCTGGCTAGCAAGACTACTGAATAGCGAGGAGCTCTGGACTCAAGTGAGAGACCCTGCCTCAAAGTGTAAGGTGGAGAGTGATTAAGGAAGATACTTGGCATCAACCTCTACCCTCCAGATGTATGTGTGTTACTGGCATATCCACAATGGGATACACAAGTGTACACACACACACACATACACACACACACACACATACAAACATACACACATACACATTCATATGCACACACACACACATATATACACATGCACACACACACATATATACACATGCACACACACACACACACACACACACACACACACACACACACACCTTATGTTATAAAATGGACAGCGTCAACAAGGGCTAAGCAGGGTTCCGTTTCCGTTTTCCTATCGATTTTTAGACTCAGAAATGACCTGGAGGCTGAGAGCTTACTGCTGCAGTCTGCTAAGGAGAAATCAGGTGAGTACTTTCCAGTGCTGCCTGCTGCCCTTCTTGGATCTTCTCTGTGTGTCTTGATACACCTCCCTCTCCTCCCCATGCTATGCACCTCCCTGATTCCTGTTCACACTTCAGCCTCAAGTTCCCCAATCTTTGGCAGATTCTCCTTAAACCTGAACCAAGACTACCCAGCCCCTCCTCACCCCATCATTTTCATGAAGTTTCTTTCAAGTATGCACTGTTAGAAAGCAAACCTGGAAAAGATTCTGGCCATCACTCCCAACTGGGCCTCTCTACCTAGCCCAGTTTCTGCAAAACTAGGGATCACGAATACTTACAGATTATATGAATACAGCAAGAGAGGAATACCCTATTTCTTTGGAACAGATACTTTTTATTAATCTATGTGAGTTACACTAAGCTATATGTTATATAACTGTATATATGATATATGTTATATATACATAGTTGCACACTATAGTTGCATGTAACACGTTTGACATTACACATATCACCCTTAACCATAGCTGAAACATTAAACATACATTGTTTACTGCTTTCCAAACTATTTCCAGAATTAGCTAGTAGGAAAATACATGACGAGAAACAACTCACTCTGATTGAAAGGGTGGAGAAGAGGAGATGTGAAATCTTTGAAAAATGGGATGAGATTAAAGCTCTTGAGAAACACATCAAAGAAACTCTGGTGCATTCGAGAGTGTCAGATATCACCGAGAACGGCATCAAAAGCATAGAGGTATGCAAATCACCTACCTAAATACTTATGTCTGTCTTGCTTAAAAGTTCACGAAGCTTAGTCCAAAATATGCTCTCCCTTCAAAAGGTGAAGTGGCTATGTAGAGCAATGGAGGTCTGGCTGGGGCAAGAACAGAGGTGGCAGGGGTCTGTGTCTCTGTCAGAGCTTTGGAACACGGAGACACAGAGCCCTTTGGAATGTGACCTAATAGGACCTAGGACCTCTCGTTGCTAGTCCCATGGATTTTAGTGGTACTTTTTTTTTTTTTAACACAGAATAAGAATTACTAAGTGCATAGAAGGATAGTGTTAGTCTAAACCATGGATGGGACTGTAGGTTCTTATTAGCCCACTGTTCCTGTAATTGATCAGTGTACCTTATGTGCCCTTGGCAGTTTTCAACTCTCCTGTCCCTGGAGCTGAAATAGGTGTTTGTGAGCTGCCTGCCATGGGTGCTGGGAACTCTGGGCCTCGAGAAGAACAGGAAGTATGCTTAACTGCTGAGCCACCTCTCCAGCCCCCACCCTGTTAACTAGATCATGCTTAATAATAATTGCTGCTACAGCAGCGGCACGTGCGACTTCTAAATGCAAGCTTACCTTGGAGATGCTGTGGGCTGGTTTCTAGACACCACAGTAAAGCAAATACCACAATTAGGTGGATCCTAAGAATTGCATGATTTCTCGGTGCATGTAAGATTATGGTTATACTCTATGGCAGAAAATTACATGCTTGATGGCATACTGTTTTAAGCACAGCTGAACAGCTATTGCTACAACATGCTGAGGTTCTTCAGGACCACTGGACATGCTCACACAGGCTTGTCACAGACCTCCAATTTCTAAGAATAAGAAGCAAATTCTGTGAAGCATGATAAAGCAAAATAAATAAAGTGACATATATTTGAGCTCTCTGGTCATTTTGAGATAGGTCCCATATAACCCATGTGACCTTAAAGTCATTATATAGCCAAGAACAACCATGAACTCTGAATCTTTCTGTCTCAGCCTCCCAAGTGCTGGATTAACAGTACGTCCACATGCCTGGCTTCCACATTTATATTTCACCTTGCCTCTAACACCAGGAGAGTCCTCTGTAATTCAGTATCTACAGGATTTGACTCAAGGCCCTTTCCTTTTATTGAAAATAGATATTTTTTCCCTCGCACAATACCTCTGGATTATGGTTTCCCTCTCTCTGCTCCTCGCCGTGTCCCCTCCCATCTGGATACACCTCCTTCCTGTCTCTCATTAAAAAACAAGCACACTGCTATAGGATACTAATGAAATATAGTATAATAAAAACACACATCACAACTGGAAAAAACAAAGAGAAGGAAAAATCGGAGAGAAGGCACAAGAAAAAGAGACCCACTCATCTGAACGGTCATAAAAACACTTAACTGGAAGCCATAATACGTATACAAGGGACCTGTGGGCTAAAAAGAAAAAAGAAAAATTGTGTATATATATAAAAAGAAAGAGCCTTACATGAATGACATTATGAGACATATGAGACAAGGGACCTCCAAAGATGCTGCTGAATTCGTTTTCCGTCGACCATCTATAGGTGGACAGGCAGCCTACCCTTAAGAGTAGTTTGTTTTCCCGGTGAGGCTCCCTTGAAGGAAACTAAATTTTCCCTTGCAAATGTTTACCAATTGGAGCTAGCTTCTGTGTTAGGGATTGGGGGTGTGTGTCCACTCACACATCTTTCATATCTAGAATCTCAAGTGGTGCAGACCCTTTCAGGCCCTGTGCTTGCTTACCTCCATCCGTGTGAGTTTATAGGCACGTTGGTCATGTTGACTTAGAGGGCCGTGTCTTCTAGGTGTCCTCCATCCCCTCTGGCTCGTACACTTTTTCCTCATGATTCCCTGAGCCCTGTAGGGAGGGATTTAATGGAGATCGCCCCACTTAGGACCGAGTGTTCCAAGGTCTCTCATTCTTCACAGATTCCCTTTCTGTGAGTCTCTGAATTTGTTCCCGTTTGCTGCAGGACGAAGCTTCTCTGATGATGGACGAGCAAATATTGATCTAGGACTATAACAGAATATCATTAGGTGTCATCTTATTGCTACTTAAAAAAAATAGAAGTATTTGGTTTTACCATAGGCGCCGGGGCTATCTAGTCTCGGGTTCTTGGTCACCAAGCTGTGTCAGGTATGGCTTCATCTCATGGAGGGGGCCTTAAATCAAGTTAAGATATTTGGTTGGTTACTTCCACCAACTATGTATGTACCATTATTGCCCTTAGCATACTGCAGGAAGGATAGCATTGTAGATGCAAGGGGTTGTGGTTGGGCTGGTGTTTGTGTCTCTCCTTTGGTAGCATGCAGAGTACCTTCTTGTACCAACATTACTAGCATGTAATTATGAAGGTCCTAGGTAGGCACCAGCTCAACTCTCTCTGTGTTTAGTTGTGTAGGTATTGTCTTGAGCAGCAGGGCCTTGCCGTCACAGTGTGGAGAACAACTTCTAGTCTTGGCAATAGCTTCAACTGTTTTTCATGGGACTCCTTTGGCCGACGACTCAATTAGATGTGACCTGTTCCCAGTACCGAAAGCTTCCTTTGGTGACGAGAGATGTCCAGTCGGTACGTCGTCTCCCCATTATTGGTCAAGTTCATTAAGATCTCTTTCATATGTGTCTATATTTTAGGAAGCTTCCAGTGTTAGGTTTCCATGCTGCCCTCACATGGCCCTAGTTTTAGCTGTCTCTCCCTGTGCTCCTTCCCTTGTCCTTCTCCTCCATCCCCATCTCCACTTAATCCTCCTGTTCCACCCCTGCAATCATCCATCCATAACTGTCCATTCTATTTCTCTTTCCTAATGAGATCTCCCTGTATCTTTTAGTTCTTTATTCTGGACCTAATCTCTGTGGATCTATGGATAGTCACTTGGTTATCATTGACTTAACAGCTAATATCCACATATCAGCGTGTCCGTACCACATTTGTCTTTGTGGGTCTGGGTTACCTCACTCACGATGACCTTTTTACTAGTTCCATCCACTCACCTGCACTTTTAATGATTTCATATTTTTTGATGTGTTAGTGATACACTATTGTGTAAATGCACCACGTTTTACTTGTCTATTCTTCTGTTAAAAGACATCTAGGTTATTTTCAGCTTCTTACTATTACGAATAGAACAGCAATGAACATGGTTGAGCAAGTGTCTCTGTGTTAGGGTAAAGTATCCTTTGGGTACATGCCCAAGAGTGGTATAGTTGGATCTTGAGATAGATTCCCATCTCCCTGAGGGACTGTCACACTGATTTCCAGAGTGACTGTACAAGTTTGTAGTCCTGCTAGCAATGGAAGAGTGGTCCCCTTCCTCCACACCCTCACCCACATGAGCTGACTTTTTAAATTGATAGTAACCATTCTGACTGGTGTAAGATAAAATCTCAAAGTAGTTTTGATTTGTGTTATCCTGATGGCCAAGGATGTTAAACATTTCTTTAAGTATTTCTCAGCCATTTGAGTTTCCTCTTTTGTCAATTCTCTGGTTAGATCTAAACTCCATTTTAAAATGGATTGTTTGTCTTTTTTTGATATCTAGTTTTTTGAGTTCTTTATGTATTTTGAATATCAATCCTCTATCATATATATTTACATATATGCATATATATATACATATATTTGATAAGATATTTTTCCATTCTGTGGTACTGCTTTGTCTTAGTATCAGTGTCCTACGCCTTGCCACAGCTTGTCAGTTTCATGAGGTGTCATATATTAATTGTTAATCTTAGTGTCTGTGCTGTCACTGTTTTGTTCAGAAAGTCTTTCCCTGTACCAACAAGTTCAAGGCTATTCCACCCTTTCTCCTTTACTGGGTTCAGTGCATCTGGTTTTATGCTGAGGTCTTTGCTCCATTTGGAGTTGAGTGTTGTACAGGGTGATGAATACGATCCATTCTGCTACATGGAGCCATCCGGTTTGACCAGCACCATTTGTTGAAGATACTTTCTTTTTCCAGTGTGTATTTCTGGGTTCTTATAAAAAACAAATCAGGTGTCCATAGGTGTGTGAGTTCATATCTGGGTGAGTTCATGTCATATTTATTCAGTACCCTTAATAAATATGTTTGCTTTTACGTCAATACCATGCTGGTTTCTTACTATAGCTTTGAAGTATAATTTGAGATCAGGAACGGTTAGATCTCCAGCAGGTTTTTTGCTGTTGTTGTTGTTTGCTTGCTTTTTATTGTTTAGGATTGTTTTAGCTACACTGGCTTTTTTGTTTTTCCACATGAAGCTGAGAATTATCCTCTCAAGATCTGTGAAGAATTGTGTTGGAATTTTGATGGGGATTGCATCGAATCTGTAGATTGCTTTTGGTAAGATGGCCAGTTTCACTATGTTAATTCCTACTGATCCATGAGTGTGGGAGATCTTTCCATCTTCTGATACCTTCTTCAATCTCCTTCTTCAGATATTTGAAGTTTTATCATACAACTCTTTCACTTGTTTGGTTAGAGTTACCCCAAGATATTTTATATCATGTGGGGCTATTGGTGGTGTTTCCCTGACATCTTTATCAGTCATTTGTATATAGAACTACTGATTTTTTTTCAGTTAATTTTCTACCCAGCTACCTTGCTGAAAGGATCCATCAGCTCTAGGAGTTCTCTGGTGGAATTTTTGGGTCACTTATGTATATTATTGTATGATCTGTAGATAAAGATGCTTTGACTCCTCCCTTTCCATTTGCATCTCCTTGATCTCCCTCAGGTGCCCTATCACTCTAGTTAAGCCTTCAAGTGCTATATTGAATAGGGACAGAGAGAGTGGACATCCTGTTCTGTTTCTGTTTTTAGTGTTTTATGTTCTTTGTTGGCTCTTTGTATGGCTGGAGTACTAGTGTAATTGTGGCCTTATAATAAATTGGGTAATGTGCCTTCATTTTCAGATTTCCCTCAGTTTGAGTTTTCTTTCTTGATTCAATTTCTGCTTTCAGATTTTTAACTTTTTGTTCACTTCCTTCCATTGTTGTTGGATTTTTTTTTTTAATGAAGGCGATTTTAAGGTGTTTGTCTTGTGCTTCAACTGTGTTGCAGAACTGAGAGCCTGCTGTAGTAGGTTTGGTTGTTGGGCTCTGGTGGCGACATATTGTGCTGGGTGTTTCTACTGTTTGTGTTTCTATGCTGGCCTCTAGATCTCTGGATTTGGGAAGACTGTAATTCTGGATGCTGATATGTGGCCTTGTCTTTATTGGGTAGCTGTTTTGTTCTTTGATTTCTGTTTTCCTCTCTGGTCCTAGGAGAGTGTGGTGGCTGTGTGTGTGTGTGTGTGTGTTGCCTGGTAGGGAATGTTTCTGGGATCCCGTATTGTGTGGCCATGGATAAACAGTGTTTTCGAGGTATTGGGAGCTGACACTTAGGAGTGAGTATAGACTAGCAGGGTGGCACTGAGGAGGTCCAAAGGAAGGAGAAAGGCAGGATCTTCTTAGTCCCCTGGGAATGGGGCAAGAAAATGAGGAGAGGCCACAGCACGTAGTCTGCTACCCAGCTGTGGGGATGAGACTGGGCATTAGATATGGAAGAGAGGAAGAAGAGTGAGGCTCTGAAGCTCGCCTACCGCCTGAGCTGGTCTACTTGCTTCTCTGACTTGGCTGGTGCAGTTGGGGCTGGGAAACAGGATCTGTGGGGAGGAAAGTTGGAGGAGAAGATCTGTGTGATCTGCTGGAGAAGGGGGCAGAGAGGAGGGGGAGGCTGCAGCAGGTTATTTGATACAGAGAAGAAAATAAGGCCTCCAGCTTCCCAGGGAGTGTTTGTTGGAGTAGGGGGCTGGAATAAAGAGATGGGTTCGGAAGGAAATTTGGAAGGGAGAATCTATCTGATCATCTGGAGATGGGGGTGGTGTGAAAGGGAGGCTGCCACAAGTGGTCTGTTGCAGAGCTGGAGACAATACTGGGGGGTTGGATTTGGAGAACCTGAGGGAGAGAAAAAGATCTGCATTTAATCTACCTGCTTCCCTGACCAGAATACGTATCTATTTTAAAATGATGTGGTATTGAGCACTTTTGAATTTATAACTACACCAGTCTTATAATGCTTTTTCTTTAACTTCGTAGAGAAAAAGTCTCAACTATTTCTTTTTAAGTTTCTTCTTAAAAACCATTTGCTTTCAGAATGAAGCTGTAAAGTTGGAAACAGCAAACAGAATCTTAAAGAAGAAAATAAAAGTAAGGTATCTTTTTAATATCCAAACATGTGTTTACCTATACAAGTGTTTCCCAAAGCATCTGCCCGCCTGTGTCATCAGTCACACAGAATGCATGCTTTCTCCTTGGGAAATAGCTTTCCACAATGTTAGGAATGTTTGTGCAGGCCTCAGCCCAGAACCGGGCTCTCATAAGCAAGTGCGTTAATGAAAACGAACTGTACTGTGGTGAGGGATTGCATCACTGATAACCACCTCTCTACTTAAACACACACCTTGCCATGCAGAATAATGGCGAATGTAGCCAGCAACGAGGACACAGACAATTGCCACTTATGTCATAGCTTTGTCTGCCTGGGCTGTGTGTGACTCCAAGCTGTCCGCGGGGTCGTTAGATTGCTATGCCTGTTAGAATCATCAACTGTATACCTTACTGTTACTGTACATGATCAACATCATGACGTTCTAGATAACCAAAGGATTTTTCCTCTTTCTGCAGGTCATTGAAAGCCATGTGAAGCAGCTCCTAAAAAAGAGTAAGGTCAGCGAGGAGGAAAGGCAGTAAGCATGGCTACTGTGTTTTAAAATACGTGTGTGTGGTGTAGGTGCATGTCTGCGTTTTCACATACCTGGGGGCACATGTGTGTAGGTGTGGATGTGTGTGCAGAGGGCACAGGTCAACAATGAGTCTTCCCGTTTGCTCCCCACCCTATTCATTGGGGAATACATATACATTTGAACCCAGAGAAGACTGCTTTGATTAGTCTCACAGGCAGCTTGCCCCTGTAGCAGGATATTTTTCTCAAGACATTTGCAATAAAGCTCGGTAATTTGGGAGGAGCTAATGTGGGAGGAGCGAAGAGTGGGAAGGAGAAGGAAGAGCAGGAGAGAGGGGAGAAGACTGGCAATCATGGAGGAGGACATGAATTGGTCAAGAGCAGTCCTGGGTAACAATTTCTATCTAAAGGTTAGGTATTGGATAACAACTCTAATTGTGTGGGTGTCTTGTTAATTGAGCATTTCCAAATATATAAATCCATTGGTTAATTATTAAGCTTTGAGAGTCTCGTTTCTACCGAGTACCAGCAAGGATGGAGGGTGTTGTCTGGGGTCCAGCTGAGCTTTGTGTGAGCTTTGAGACAGCATGGTGGATTGGCAGAGCCACTCCAGGCACCATTTTAAAAACATTACCCACAACATGCCCCAAGGATCCTGTCTCCACCTTCCGAGGACTGGGATTACAGGCAGGTTGCCTCTGCACCTACCTGCCATTTCTGTGGGTTCTGGGGACATGGGCTCTAGTCCTTAAAATGATATGACATGTACTTTACTCACTGACAGATCTTCCTGGCCCTATGCCAGAAGTGTGGTATAAAGATATTGGAGTATTATCATTCACTTGAAAGCAGATGAGGCTTGACAACTCTTTAGAGTATGTGCCTTCATGAGTGCTGATTTTAACAATGCATGCATTGTCTTGACGGGTGACTACTTAAGCTCTAGACCCCCAACATGAACATTTCCTTTACCAGTATATGAATAGTTTCCTTAGAAGAAGAAGCTAAGGATTGGGGTGAATTCTTAGGAGCAAGGGTCAGGAGTGTGGGGACAGCACATGGCTTTGCGTGGCAGTCTTCACTAAACTTGCATGGCTTTTAATGATAACAAAAACTTTTTAAAACGCTATGTACATCTAAACTTTGAATGTAAAAAGTAAATGGGGGCTGGTGAGAGCCTCTGCAGGTAAAGGTATCCATCTCTAAGGCTAACTAACCTGAATTTGACTTACACCTGACTCCTGCCAGCTGTCTTCTACCTCCACAGGTGTCCATATGTGCAAATCTGTGCATGTGCACACCTACACACAAAAGGAAACACAATACAAAATTAAAAGTGAAATGGTTGATTTGTAGAATCTGTTCCGTGCTGCTGCTTTTGCATGGTCACTTCTGTGAAAGTTGGCACTGAGTTCAAATCTCATGACTTTGTGCAGATGGATCAATAGAAAACCATGCTGGCTGAAATCTGGGAAAGCGTATTTGTGTTAACATGGAGACCATCCTTGGCCATCAGTGGCCTGGGCCCGACAGCATTATCCTGCCTCCATAACTTTTTATGCCTGTGGGTTCCTCATGAGTCTCATCAGTGTGGCTGTTTTTATGCATCAAGTCCATGGTCCAAGGAAAAACATAAATAGCTTCTTCTCTGAGGCATATATACATGTACACATATGGATACATGCACATACACATATACATCTAATATATATATATATATATATATATATATATATATATATATGTTTAATATATATAATGTGTGTGTGTTTTTACATCTGGAGATACATATATATTATTTATATATGTATGTGTATGTATATATACATGTATATGTATGTGTGTGTATTATGTATTTCCTGATGTAGAAAAGTGGCCTTTTCCGGGGGCTTCCTCATATATCTCACTGGCTACCACACAACCCACAGTTGCAGGAAAGGGCAGAAAACAGAATCCACGTCCTCTCTCTTGTGGTCAAGGAATATGCAAAATGGGTGCCTGGATCACTCTTTGCAGCTCCCCATGTCATGCTGGGTGCCAGCAAGAACAATAACACAGTTGCATAGACCCTACTGGGAAGCTGCTTTTCTACTCTGGCAAACGAATGTGATAGAAGTGTGTATGCACAGTATCATTAGCCCAGAAGATGCTTTAGCGGGGTATCCCCTGACCCCCAAATCCTAGAGAAACCCCATGCCATTCAAGGCCAAAGCACTGATAACAAAACTGCTGAAGACAGAAGTTTTTGATTGCAACCTCGTCTGTTTGGGTGAACCTGTCCTGCATGGTTACTTGGACTGGTTCTTTTCCCCCCAGTGCTTATGTCTCTTCTAACCCACTGCACTTTTTTGTTGTGTATTTTAAGGGTTCTCTTGGATCTCATTAGAGAATATGCAGATGTTGAGGATGTTGAAGAAGATTCTGAAATGCTTGGAAAACTGACATAAGGAAGTGTCTGCTTCCCAGCCCACCACCTGGATAGGTCAATGGAGATATTTCTTCTTGTCATCTTTCCCACTGATAACATCAGTGTGGGATGTGCACCATCCTCAGTATGTTGATAGATGTATCTTCCATGTGATTCGTTTGACTTTATATGTGCATACTGGTCCTTGGTTCATCTATTATTCAATAACTTTTAACTGGACAAAACACGTTTGAATATTTAATAAGAATGGAGATTTTATCCTGCTGGGATGTATATCAGTTCGGTTTAAGTGCTGACATGTTTCCACACATGCATTTAATAAAATAAACATCATACTCATGCTGGTTGTGTGCTTACTGTTGTGGGCTGCATGGTTAGCTGACAGCAATTACTGAAGCGGGGAAAAGTTTATTTCGGCTCATGAGTTCAGGAAGTTTCAGTCTCTCATGGTGGAGCATCCCCAGTCGGTACAGATGGTGTGTGTGATGGAGATTGTTCATATCAGCACTGACCAGGAAGCAGAGAGCATGATGGGAATGAGAAGTCAGGTATCACCAGGTATAGTCCACCTGTAGAGGTCTACTTGTGCCAGCTGCCAGCTCCTATCCATAGCCTCCCCCACCCCAAACTGTACCACCTCCTGGGGACAAGTGCCTGGAACACAGGCTTGTGGGGAATGTTCCAGACTCAAACCTAACAATAGTGCCTGAATTAATACCTATAAATAATAATTATACACAATTAATATCTATACCTAATTAATACCTAGATAAAGTTTGCTCCTTGCCACAGTGTCTGCATGGTGGCTTGTACGTCATGACAGTTTCAAAGCTTCAGAATTTCTTCTCAACTCTGGGTGTGTGCTAGTGTAAGCATGGAATGTGGAAATGACATTAAATCCTATGACCATCCATAGGTAGGATTTGAGGATCAAATGTGAGTGGGGAAATGTTAGGTCTCATCCTAATTGGGAGTATTGCAGAGGAGAGAGGAAGAAGCAGGGGAGGGGGGAGGAGAGGAGGGAAAAGACAGAAAAGTCTGTGGGAGCACTTCCTTCATTACTGATGGATATGGGAATGTAGGAAGAATTGAGCTGTCGGAAAAAAACAGACCAAGTGAGCTGTGAACAAACCAAGCTCTCCCTCTCCCTTCGTCTCTACTCCAGTTCCTGCCTTGGCTTCCCTCAGTGATAGACTATATTCCGCAAGCTAATATAAACGCTGTTTTCTCCTAAGTCGTGCCTGGTCAATCTTTTATCACAGCAGCAAATATAAACTGGACAGGGAGGGAAGAGGAGGGTCAGGGAGGGAGAGGAGAGCAGGCAGGGGAGGGAGGAAAGGATAGATGTTTAGGACAGGTAACCCAAGGCTTTACCATGTCAAGAACCAAATGTGAGTGTTTGTTGGGTTTTCTATGCTTCTCTTACATTCTGCTGGTTATCTATTAGACTCTAGATCTCTCACAGCTGAGGGAGAGGCTGCTGTGTGAACTGTCTACCAATTTGCTGAAACTCCCTGTGTGTGGCACACTAGAATGGAACCCCATGTGTGGCTGAGGGGACCCCTACATTCCATTACCATACCATGCTAGTTGTTACCGTTATCCTTTGCCAACTTTATGTAATCTGGGTCATCTGGGAAGAGTGAGAAAATGCCCCCATCAGATTGGCCTGTGGGCAAGCCTGTGAGCATTTTCTTGATTAGTGATTGATGTGGGAGGGCCCAGCCCACTGTGCCCAGGTGTCCTGGGTTTTATAAGAGAGCAGGCAGAAGACGCTGGTAGGCATCGAGGCTCAATGGCTTCTGCCTCTGCTCCTGCCTGTGGGCTCCTGCCTGAGTTCCTTCATGATGGACCACAACTGTAAGTTGACATATACCCTTTCCTCCTCTAGTTGCTTTTGCTGAAGGTGTTCATCACAGCTATAGGAAGTGAGATATGCAGTCATCCCGTGGTGTGTGGCATCCACAGCATTTGTTAGAGACTTCGAAGGCATTTTTTGCATCGGCAACAAGTGGAAAGATCAGTAGAACTTAAGACAAACAGCAGCCGAGTTTTTTCTCTTGTACAAGAGAGAGCCACCCGTACACAGCTCAGACCAGGGTGTTGACCATACAGCACTGGCTAATCTAACTTGTGGGAGCTGGGTATCAGGGTCTGATAGACTCGTGTAGAAATGAGGAGATTTAAGAATGACGCTTGTTTTTTGTTGGATTATTCCATTATTCCGGCTAATGTCACAAGAACTTTTTTGTTTTTAAGTTTGATGTAAGTTACAAGACGCCTTTGTCAAGATCAAAATTTGTAACAGCTAGCTACTGTGCTTGTTGCCTCCTTGTGACTAGAACATTCTTCTTAAAGCAGATGAGAGATCTTCCCATCCATTCTTTATGTCAATAATATTTGTTCTATTAGCTTTCCTGTCTGTTACAGTTTGCCAGTGGGTTGTCTGTGTGTGCGTGTGTGTATGTGTGTGTGTCTGTCTGTCTATATCTGTATGTATGTATGCGTCTGTGTATAAGAAGGAAGTAGTGTCAAGCCTCAAAAAATCTATAGATTTTTAAAATTACACTTGTCAATATGTATGTCTCTGTGTGTGTGTGTGTGTGTGTGTGTGATCAAGAGTGCTACAGCATACATGAGGTCAAAGATCAATGCATGTGACTTAGCTCTCTCCTTCCACCATGTAGGTACTGGGTACTGGGGATCGAACCCAATTTATCAGGCAGAGCCTCTTCCTCTTCAGTATTCTACTCATGGGAGTCTGGGGGGACTGCTCCATTCACGGGACCCACAGTTGATAGCAAGCGAAGCATCACACCAGCAACAGGAGCTCAGAGATCCCCAGAGGACTCCTAGGAATCTAGGCAAACTCCGCCATCTTCAGGTGTGCAGTGGCGTTTTCTTCCTTTGGGATGGGAAGAACGGAGCTGTGGCCACGACTGAAACCCTCCCTGGCTCAGGCAAGTTTTTGCTCTCTCTTTTCTGAGTTTGACAGGCTCTCTTCTAATTGGCCCATTTTTTACACAGCCAGCCAATCAGGATGCGGCTGAGAATATACACATTCTAGTTCCTGGAGTCTGGTGTTTGAGCTCAGAACTCCAACTGTAAGCTGAGGCTTCTTCCTGCCTCACCCTGTGGTTGTAGGCAGAGTACTCACTCCTATTTTGGGGACTGAGCCACCTTTCCTACCCATCCCCCTACCTTTCCCGGTGAGCCTCTCTGCTGCTGAGGCGGCTGCTGAAACCAGCTCTTCACAGATGCGCTCAATCCTGCACTCCAGCTGGTGTGACGCTCTGGGTCTTTTGGTTGACACATGGGCTGTTGAGATCACAGTGCTGGAGAGCTTAGAACCTCTCTCAGATAGCATCCTGCCATGAGGATGTCATTTCTAGTACTACCATGCCTTTCACTCTATTATTGTAAAGAGAGAAAGACAGGCCCTGAAATAAGAATTGACATCTTCCCAACTCCCATGGCCAGCAAAATCCACGAGCATCCACTGCGTCTGCTGTGTGTCCTGGGGTAGAAGCGGAAGAGACTGGGTTTCTTAGAGAATTGCACCTGCTCTCTGTTTATAGCTGAGGTTTCCAGACTATGTATGTACGTATATATGTGCAATCTAATCTCAGCTTCACATATTTTAATTATTACTAGGGCTGGTGTTTTGGGCATTTCTAACTCACCAGAGAGACAGGTTAGACTCTGCAGAACTCAAGCTGCCCCTCCATCTCAGCCAGCATGGCTGACAGAACCTCTGTTTACCCTCTGCTGTGCAGAGAAGGGCTGGCTGCTGTTTGTTTCCATTGTTCGCTATTGAATAACATTTCAGAGCATGTTGTATCTGTGTCTTGACCCCTTTAGGACTTCTTAAAGCACAATGATCTTTTCAAAGACTGGGGAGCAGCCTAAATTAGCACAAATTAAGACAAGTGAAGATCTTTCACTGGAGTGTTCTCTAGGCAACTGGGAATGTGCTTAGCCTCAGACTGATGGCAGGAGAAGATGGGGCGCAGAGGTATAGCGGGTTCTTGAGGATGCAAGGACTAACCAGCATTCTCAAGTGTCCCCTGTTTCTCCTGCACATCTTCCCTAAGTCCTTCACACTATCTCTGTCTCCCTCTGTCCCCAGTTTTAACATTAGTTTGCACAGTGCAAACTCTCTGGGCTCCCTGCTTTCCTTTCTGCTTGGACCTCATGGCCTCATTTTCCAAAGAAAGAGAGACTTCATGTGAAAGTGACTTCATGTGCTCCCCTGAGACATTTATATGCATGATGGATACTTCTATCATGAAGACACTGAGGGGCAGACCTACATCACCCCTGTAGCGGGATGGTTTCCTGCTGCTGCTACATTGTTTGCAGTGGAGCTATTGGGGAGGAGCTAATGTGGGAGGAGGAAGAGAAGAAGGAAGAGGAGGAGCTAGGACGAGAGAGAGGAGTGATGTAACAGCCATGGAGAACCACACATGGGTCCAGAGCAGTCCTAGGTAACGATTTATATCTTAAGGTTAGATATTGGGAAACAACTCTAATTGTGTGGGCAAATTGTTAATTGAGCATGTCCAAATGTATAAATATTGGATAATATTTAAGCATTAAGAGTCTCATTTCTACCGGGTACCACATGGATGGCGGGATGGTCTGGGTTCAGCCAACCATTGTGGACAGCGTGGTGGATTGGCAGAGCCAAACACCATGCTGGGGTCTCATGGATCTAGTTGTGACACATGTGGCCTCTAGCTGCTTCCAGCTGTGGCGCACTTGGCTTCTGGCCACCAAACATGACGGCCTGAGCTAAGCAAAGCCACACTGCTGACAGGATAGATGGCCCATGCTGGGTTTTTTTCGTTTTAAATATTACCCTCAACACACCCCTATCTGGAAAGTTGAGGCAGGAATATTAGACAATCAGCCTTTGGTAACAGGTACCATGAAGCAGTAAATTGTTAATCCGCTCAAACTCCCCAGTAGGTGAGTGCACCTCCTCTACACACACCTAAGTGGTTTGGATTCCCAAAAGAAAGACAAACACACACACACACACACACACACACACACACACACACATGGAGAGAGAGAGAAAGAGAGAGAGAGAGAGAGAGAGAGAGAGGGAGAGAGAGGGAGAGAACGTGCTAAGCAGCTCAATATTTCCCCATGGCTAACACACTCCCCCTTCCGGTATTCCTGATTTATTACTTCCTGAAATCTATTTCTAACTTGGTTGCCTGGGCCCAGTTGGGCAGCCCTCTCGGACCATGCTCTCCTGGCTCCTTCAGTGCAGACATACAGGTCCCCGTGTGATTTCAGGAGCCAAATTAACGTACATAGCATTAGAACCA